TACTTCGTGGCCTGAGGACAATGTACTTGTCACTTGCCAAATACTCTCCTCTATTCTATAATATTGAATATATCCTTTGTTTCATACACTTGATGATATTTTGAATATTTTTATCAAAAAAATACATGTGATTTTTACTAGAGGGCGGGTAGTTCACAACATCACCTAACATCACCAGAGGGGGAAGACGGTGGTTAAAAAGTTACTAAAAATATCACTTCATTAATGGACGACCCCAAAGTGCCGAAACAGCTCTCTAACATATTGCTTGATCTACTAAAATTGATCGGTTAATGTTTGGGATCATGGTAGGAAAATAATTGATTTTTGTGTATGTTAAATCAGGCTGATTTAATATTTCGTAGCAGAACCTTCGAAAAACAAATCAATCACTTAATGAATCAATTTAAAGCCAAATTCAGGAAGGGTTCGTGAACATCCCAATTTTTTTTGTTAGTAGTCATATAATGTCAAGTCTTAGTATTTCTGGATGAACATTTCATTTTCAGATTTTCGACAATGTTTCAATGTGTTAATGAAGGAGCCTGAAATGAGCCTGAAATTATTGCATATTCAAAATTTTTAAAAAGTGAAGGATTCAAATTTGGTTCTGCTAGCTTAACGGTTAAGCCAGCAGAACCCAACATTTTTTCAAAAAATAGAACACCTGGATAATCGCGATAAGGGAAAAAATGTGCCTAAAATGAGCCTGAAATTATGATGGAATCCGATTTGGCAAAATATTTTTTATAAGGGTGGTTTTCGGTAGCTTAACGTTAAGCTAGCAGGACCCATGATATCTACGTTAAACGAAGAGCAAAAAATTCGGCAATAGAATACAAAATTAGCCTAAAATTAGCCTTCAATCATGGCCTGAAAATAGATGTGAAATTACAAAGTGGTTCTGTTAGCTTAACAGGGGTGACAAATCAGCAAGACACCAAGTATTTGTTTAAACGACGGGAATTTATAAGATTTTCTTTCGCAAGTAATTCACTAATAACTAGAACATGCTAATGGTGTAGTCAAAGATCTGGAAAAATTAAAAAAAATAGTGAGAAAACAGCCATGATTCAATTTCAATAAAATTTTCTTGGATGAAAACTTTATCTGGAGAATTCTATATGAACTATGTAGTTGAACAAAGCTCATATGTCATTGTTGGGCAAAAAATCAACCTCCATCCCTGTTTTCATCCATTTCCTAAAAACATTTTTGAATTTATTTTTTAATCTATCTACGAATGTTCGGAAGGAGTTATCAATTTTTGTTGAAAATGGATGAAAATAAGGATGATTTGATGCCTGACAAAATAAATTTGACATGTGTAACTTGTTTATAATATGTAATATAATATATGTTGATGAGAAACAATTTACATCCACGAATGTTTCAAGAGAGTAATGGATTAATTAAAACATGGGTGAAGATTGATTTTCTGCCCTACTAAAGGTCTGACATATAAAGTCCGACATCTGACGAAAAATGTCAATGTCATCGGAGTAAATTTTAGGTAATTGAGCTAATTCATGGAAGATCTCTCGCATCGCGTCGGTTCGACAAATCCATGCCTGAAACTCGTGGCTGTTTTCACATTGATTAATAAAAAAAGTCGTATCGATGTCAAGTAGTTTTTCAAACAAAAATATATCAAGTTAGCGAGACACCATGTAATTTTTATATAAAAGGAACGAAAAAAAACATTTTCCGCAAATGATTAGCGAATAAATATACTATACCAATGGTCTAGTCAAAGTTTTGAAAAACTTAATAATAAAAAAGTCGTATCGCTAACTTGATATCAAGTTAGAAAGACACCATGTATACTGTTATCAGACGTTCCCGTATGTATTCTCAAGGGTATGTTCCGAGTACACTCTATATCACTCATTGACAATCAATTTTAACTTACCTCTGCTCTTTGAAGCAATTTTCCAGTACTGTTAGTAGTAGATCCCGTGTGTATTCTCAGGTGCATGTTCCGAATACACTTTACATCACTTATTGACGAAATTCTTGATATGGGCTCCTACCAAAAAGTTCGGTACCTACTCAACGGGTTCATGGCCGTATTACACCACGCAAACGCTTTTTGTTGCCTGTACTTCCGATAGAATTTCCTGTCATCTAATATAGAACCAATCTATCCTTATTTTCCAGTTCTTTTATTTACCCACTATATTTTCAGAGCTTTTATGGATCATCAATTCTTCAAGTGCAACCTACCTGTATATAGAAATATTGATCTACTCACTTCGTTGAGGCCTCATATTTTGGCACACTATCACATTGAATATACAGTGCATTCCATTTAAAACGAGCCACTTTGAATCACTTTTGGTACAATGATTTGCAGGAGAAATAAAAAAAAAACACGTCAACCATACAGTGGGACACATTTTGACATATTCGCATTTGATGTTACTTCCCCTACCGCACCCCCAGAGCAAATGGATCAATTGTTTTGCATTATCAGATGTAAATCTAAAGAAATTAACTTCCCAGTCTCGGATATACCTACACAGTAGGTTGAATGGACTGACGCCTATCAGAAAACAACTACATCCCTGGCTAATATCACAAAGCCCGAAACCGGTCTGCAAGTGTGCCCATTCCAAAATTGAAGGTCGACTCTTTCAGTTGTATTTCCATTTGCATATGCAGGAAATTTTCTGTGAAGATTCCTGCACTGACGCCTGTCGGATATGATCCAACGTCCTTCGTGGTATTAGCAGCCAGGGGAGTACTTGTTTTCTGATAAGCGTCAATCCACTCAACCTACTATGTAGGTATATCCGAGACTGTCTTCAACGTTTAAAGTTCATTTCTTCAGATTTGTTTACTGCCAGTCTTCAAGCATAGCCCACTGACTAATACGAAAATTATCAGATGTTCCATGATGAACAGGTTTCAACAAAGTAGAATACATTATGGTCTGAAACTAATAGTTTGGAAGTTAAAAAGTCTTCTTTTGCCTAGTTAAATTTGAATTTGATATTTTCTTAATTTTGTATTTGTCTCATTCTACAATATGGATTATCTAACAGGTGAAATTACAATTGGTGTTTCTGTTTTTGTGAATTCTTGAGAACCAATAGTTTATACGCTTCGAGAACGGTTCGAAATAGTGAGTTTGAACTACCAGAATGGAAATAGTGCTGGAACCGTTCAAATAAAATCATCCAAGAAGAAATGTACGACACAAATACGTTTCGTAATTATTAAACAAATTTATGGAAACTGGTTCTTTCAACAACAAAATGCATAATCGTTCAGGTTTTGTCAACGATGAAGCTATTTGTATTGCAGTTTTAGGGAACGTTGGACTGATGGAAAATTCGCGATCTATAACTAAGTTATCTAGAGAATCAGGAATCAGTCATACAAATGTTTTTAGCATCATTCATAACTTCAAATTTCATCCATATAAGAATATACTAGTTTATGAATTGAACGATAGACGATAGACGATAGACGATAGACTCGATAGACGTATCGAGTTTTGTGGAAGTCTCACTGAACGGATACACTTACATCAGAATTTCTTGTATAAAATTGGTTTTTTGGATGAATGTACGTTCAGTTTGAATGGAGAGGTGAATCGGCAAAAGTGTCGATATTGGAGTGATAAGAATTCTCATTTATACCGTCAAATTCATACCAAACAGAATGTTTAGGCAGGAATTTTAGGTGACCACATCATAGGACCTTTTTTATCGATGAAAATTCGACTAGTGATTAATATTTGGATATGTTGGAGAATAAAGTAATACCATGCATCAATAGAGCAATCGAAAACGAAATAGTTTTTCAGGTACTATTGGTACAAGTGTTGCTTTATCTTCGTTCGAGTATATTTCAAATCATCACTTTATTCATTCAAAGATAACAAATACTGTTGCGTTTTCATGATTTTCTTTTGTTTGAAGGTGACAATGTTTCATGATGAATTACATTAGTTCGGACTTCCATTGTCTAATATATAAAATGATTTGAAATCCCTGAAACAACTAAAAAAAGAAGAATTAAAATTGAATAGCTGAAAATAACAATTATAATAAGCAAAAATAACTTGAAATGGAATAATAGTGAAATAAAATGCAAGTAAAAATAGAACGATTGAACAAAAATGAACAAATAAAAATAAAAAGTTAAGAGATTCCAAACCGCGTTAGTTCACGACGTTTCGGTTGTTAGTATCTACAATCGTCTTCGGGTGATGACTGGACTGATTCCTCCTATTTATTGGTCGTTCGAGTACTTTCACTTATCCCCGCTTTCCATTTTTCCGCTTCACTGGTTCAGTGGGAGATGACCGTTTGGCGGAAGTTGGCCATTTTTCGCTTGATGATGGGTTTCCATATGTTGCGTATCTCTACGCTAGCTAAGCTGAATACGTTGTTGGACAGCATGTATGCGGCTTCCTTGAATTTTCTCCTAAACCAATGTTCCTCTCTGTGTATGATCTCAGCATGGGACCACTCGATGTTGTGTTGACGGTTCCAAACATGGTCTGCTAGTCCTGATTTGCTGGTTTCTCCTCACTGTGTGTGTTTCTTATGCTCGGCAATACGAACATTCGAAGGCCTCTTAGTTTCACCAATATAGGATTTTTCGAACTCACAGAGTATCCGGTAAATGCAATTCTTGGAATCGCAGTCCGCGTTTGGTGGCCTGGTTTTCGTGAGGCTGTTACGAAGTGTTACCAGATCTGGTTGTTTCAGGGTTTTCAAATCATTTCATATAATAGACAATGGAAGTCCGAACTAGTGAAATTCATCATGATTTTCTTCCTGATTGAAAATTATTTGTATAAATGCGAACATACTGAAAGTTGTTCACTCTCACACTGTATTTCTATGAATTCATCCACCGAAATCAAAAAGATAAATCTGTTTGAATATTACTGTGAAGTGCAGGTGTTCGAATGAATATTTTGTAATGGGGTTTCCAAGAAATTGTCCTGGTTCTTAGGCTCAAACAAAGAAAAAACCACAAAATTCATATGCATGCTTTATTATACTGTATTGAATATATGGATTTTCGAGATTTCATCAACCTAACGATCAACAGTCAGTAACTGCTGCTTTCCAATTACATACATTTTCACTAATATCGAAATATAAACCAGAAGGACAAGTGTTGGTTTTTGGAACGTATTTTCCATCTACTAACTGACAATAGTAAAAAATACTACAGTCGTTGATATCTCTAACGTAACCCTCAGATGTACAAAGATTGTTTGTTCCAGAAAAAGATTCGTCTGTATTTTTGTTAACATCGGGAAAACTGTTCGATGAGTCCTTGTCACTGCTACTTGAAGAATCGCTGCTACTTGAAGAATCGCTGCTACTTGAAGAATCGCTGCCAGTAGAATTGCTGCCAGTGTAACTTGATGATGAAATTTTCTGAAAAATCATTGGTATGAGACCATAACAATGCCGATATAATAATTATGTTTAGGAGGAAAAAATCTATTGGATATATATGGTGACTGTTAGATCAGTGATGATATATGAACCAACTGCCTGGTGGACTAAAGTTTCACAGCAAACAGAGACAAATTCTCTTAGCTACCTCTAGTACAATGAGCAGTAGTCATGGGAGTCTCTACATGTTTCTGAAAAGAGATGATATGAGAACTACAGAATTGTACATATTACTAATTGTCTTATGCAGAGCCTAGCAGATTGAGGTTTCAAAATCACAGTATTCTGATATTAACTTTCGACTCAATGCCACCAAATGTTAATTACAAAATGTCTATACAGTTTCAATCTTCAGAAGAGAGAATTGAATATTCTGAGAAAAGAAAATACTAGCTATTGGTAAACCTATTTTTGTGATGCAGATGTGTACAATCATAAACAGATATATCAACCGGCCTAAAAAATTTCCGACATTGATTCATATGTGGGGAGATTGACGTACCACACACATAGCTCTGGGAGTACTTTTGGCTGTCACCGCAACGTCCAAGTTAATAGTCAACTGCCAAAAAAGTCTCTGGTCGATAGAATGAAACAGTACGAAAAGTTTCGTCTGCTATGCGGTAGATATCATCAGTGATATATGCGTCGACTCCGGAGACAAAAGTTATATCTCGAAGTCTCAGCAACATATGACCTCGGTCTACCAGACTGGATTTAGTTCTCTCTAAAAATTAGTTCTGATCTGGATTTATGATTGAACTGGCCTGGAAGGTAATGATCCTGCTGACACTCGTGCGAAAGATGGTGTTGCCAGCGGTTTCGTTGAACTGCAATTTTATATTCGTATCACTTTGGGTTTTGTCAAATACTCGACTACATGAAAAGATTTAACCTTGTAGCATTCATACATTTTTGGTCTGAACTATCATATGAAAAGTACTGTCTCAAGACAGGGTATGCCGTTTCTACTCGGAAGATAAAAAACAGCAGATCCACAATAAACTCCGTTATAGTGGACTCACTTTAGAACTAACCCAACGTAGATACGAGGGAAAAGGTTATCCTAGTCTAAGTTTTCAGCTAAGTGAACAATAACATTTTTTGTATCCCACTAAGATCCTGTATCCATTTTTCCAGAAGGTTAATATTCGAAGAACTAAGACAACCAACCATAGCCCATCATCTGAGAGGCAAAATCCTCGAATATGGATTCAATATATTCATATAAATAATCACTTGTAAGATAATTATTACTTTTGTCATCTCTATGCAGGGTAAATTCCAACATAGCAGATTTCGATTTCGATAAATTTTATCCAAGAGAGGTTTTCATGAGGTACGACAATACAAAGAATAAATGACAAAAATCGGATCTTCTGGAATTAATAACAGAAAATTGATCACTAACTCATATTAAATTCGTTTTCATTAGATTTTTTAAAAGAAATCGTTATTATTCACTTTTTTTTCTCAAAATTTATCTGGTTACCTATAAATAATCGTGATCAATTAGTCCTCTGCTTGAAATCTACCTTTTTCTTAGAACACATGTCATTTGTAAAGAATGCAAATTACCAATTCAACCGAAGAAGTTATTGTGTAGTGAAATGAATGCAGTTATTATCACGTATACAAGTGATTACTATTCTAAATTTTTCTTTGTGAAGGAATGTATTCCTTCAATATGGATATATACAAACTACTGATTCTTCCCTTCGAATTTAAATGAACAATTTCACCCAAATGAGAATTATTTTATGAATAAATGAACAGATATGTCCATTTCAACTCACCAGAACTTCATTAATAGCTCTTAGGAGAGGGAATTTAGTACCAGATACCCCTCGGAAATCATCTGTTTCTATGGACCATACCATCACTCCACCAAGGTTTGCGGATTTAGCGTATTCCACCTGTACAAAAGGACATTATGTGTATAATGGCTGAGCAAAAAGAAAGATCCCAAAGTATACTAAGATTGAACATTCATTTGAAATCAAAATATATCACTGAACCGTTGAACTACGAAATTAGAAATAAGATTCAGATTCGATCAATATCTATTCATAATTTAATGGTTGGAATTTCAAGTATTGAAAACATTCACAAACATTTTATCAGTGTTATGGAGCTTGAGATACGTGACTACAAAGACATACGTTTAGAAAAAGAATCAAAACAAACAACACTTTGAATTCTTCGACAAATTTTTTCTAATCCAATAGCTGAATTGTAAACGATACCTAACACTTTCTACGGAATATTTATTTTCATGATTGTGAAATGATATTTGTTATAAATTGATACCTATTACATTTACACTACTTGATAAAATATGTTTGAAAATCTGTTCCCCCATCGAATTCAAAACTGATTGGAAATAAAGTTTGATTATTTCACATGGGCTCAAGGAACAGGTTGATGATATGTCTGAGTATGTTTCGATCTATTACGTAATTTCAGCCCTGATATAGAACAACTACTACAGTGAGCAATGGTGATTATGAGTCATAATACTAATACGAAAACAGTGAGGCAATTAACCAGTTATGTGTTAAGAACAATTGTGAAGAAAGTGCAATATCTTCCAGACTAGTGATTCTGCAAAAGATACTAGTGAACATATACAATGAAAACGTACATTTCAAGAAGCGGAAATAAAATTGACAAATTTTTGTGAGCATCCTCGAGTGACTAGTACAGTTCAAATATCTGTAGTATTTTTTAACTTTAAAATATTGTAGGATACTTACATTACATTGAACTTCCATTAAAATGTTCAGATTCAGAACTGAAGTTACCGAAGAACATTTCGTATAATGGTTTTGAATATCAATGCATAGTACTTTTTTTAATATTTTCCAATATACAAGGTAGCCAATAGAAACATGGAGTGTCAAAGTTAGGTGTTTTTGAATGAAATGAGTAATATAAGAAAAAAATTTGTGAAAAATATAGTATTATTAGGGCATATATACCAAGTGGTTCAGAAGTAATGCCAAAAATATCGTCAAAATTTTGATCCATTGAACCGTTCTCATCTTCAATGAAAACTCATTTGATGAGTCTGTTTTCTTATGAAGATGATTTGTAGATTCAGCTATTCCATTAACAAATCATAATTGGTACGAAATAATTCTAATTCCGAGTGAATTGAAAGTCGAAAATAATTTTTTTTTTGGCTTTAGTCACTAGTATTATAAATCTTTAACAGACGGTGCACGAATGTGAAATTCCTCTCAAACAACATAATAAAGTTTTTCTTGGCTTTTTTAAAACGTACCACTGATTTTTTTCATTCAAAATGTAATATCTTTTTGGAGAACCCTTTTGGAAAATATTGGGTTGTATAGGTTAATACGAAGCGATTAAAAGAGCTGGGTTGCTTCTCCTCCTTAGAAAATCACGAAAAATATTTGAACACCGCAACTCACCTCATTATATCCCAACATACCGGGTTCCAAAGTGTAAGGACCAGAATTTCCAGCTCCGGATATTGGTGCTCCTAGAGCTACTTTACTTGTACTAGATAGAGTGAATGTTCTTCCGTACAATGCCAAACCAAGTACTAATTTTTGAGGGTCAGCACCATTGGCAATCCAACCTTTAACGACGGAATCCTGTGAATTGCGATTAGTATAATAGGATTGGTTTTTGATATATATCAATTATTTTCGAATATTATTTTGAATATTTCAATTGCGATGAAATATTATTTCAGGAACTTGCATTTTGAGGTTCTCGTCAAAAAAGCTATTGAGTGATAAGTGGTGACTGGTGGTGGTGATTGTACTGGAGAACATTTTCTGAAGCGTGTTAATATCGGTACATGTGCTGAAGTAATGATTCACTTGTATTCAATTTAGAAGGTTCAGTCCACAATATGTACCGTTATCTGAATGCAATAGTTCTTGAAAAGTATAGTTTGGAGTGTGTTCAGATGAATTTCGAAGCGATGGGTAGCTGTATTTTGGCGCGTTCTCTAATACCTACTTCTCGTAAGAATTTGTATAGAAAAAAGATAGGTCTCCAAATTTCCTTCGACGTTCCAGGCAATAAAAGATGAGTAAATTGATTGCATCTAAAAACCGGAAAATGTCTTTTTTTATCAAATCTAACAACCCCAGCATACTCTCAGTTTCATATTTGCGTATATCAAAAGTCGCTAAGGTGTGTGTAACTTCCTGAAGACGATTTTTCTATTCCAGTAGCCTGAATGTTCCAAGACATGTGATTGTTTAACTTGACATCTAAAAAATCAATCGATGCAGACAGCGAAATTGTGTTCTCCGAAATTATGATGTTTGTTTCGGTCACAATCACTTTCTCAGAGAAAACTAATGGTTGGTTTTTCCTAGCATTCACTTCTATTGGTTTTCTGTCACCCCATGTCGATTTTTTGTAGATCTCTATCGAACGGGGAATGTTCCTAAATTTGGGTTATTACAGCAAATGCAAGTTTGAACAAAATGAAGTTGAGTTTAATTTATGAGTTTTTCAAATTTGAATACGAAAAGTATTCAAATGTTGGGTTTCAATTTTAAAAGGGATTTGTTTTTAATTCACATATTGGCAACAGCTCCTATATCAAGTTGAAATAATCAACAATTAAAACCAAATATAAATTATAGTTCAAGACCACCTCCACAAGCCACTTAAACAACAGTTGTTTTGTTATTTATTTATATAGAGGAAGATAGGTTAGTTGCACAAAATGTCATATATCACAGAATGTCTCGCAACTCGGAACATAAGTAGACAGAACAATTAGAGATTCCGAGCTCAAAACCCTCCGTGTTTCATGATTGCATTATTGAAAAAGTAGGTGACATAATATGTAGTAAGGTATCGGTAGACGAGACTATTAGAGACAACAGCTTCCGGCTAACTTTTGTTAAACCATGATTTGTCTTCAGAAGATCGCATCATTGAAAAAATGATTTATACTTTCAAGCCTGATTAAATGACCTCAATTACTTGTTCATGTTTCAAAAAAGGGTCTAGCGAGGGAAATTTTCAGAAATGGCCATTTGACTCACCTATACTCTCAATCTTTGCACAGTTTCAGTTGTTCTACGAAATTTATCAATAAATTACTCAAAACTGAAATGAGATTTCAGTCAAACAATTCCACAGGAGATTTCACGGTGAAGTGTATAGATCAGTGATCTCTCTCTGTCTCTCTCTCTCTCTCTCTCTCGGTTAAAATTGTTGTGTGCTCATTAATAAATAATTTCAGTAGAGCCGCTGCTTATTGCAAAAGTATCTGTTTCGTGTTCTTGTATATCTTTGATATTTGGAAATTAAGGCTAGTTGATATGATAAATATTAAAGTCACTAAACGTATAAATTCTCGGAGTAACTACTCTGAGAAAATATGTAGTGTTTGTAAAGAAGAAAATAGTTTTTTGTACTGTGTCCCACCTGGAGATCAATGAACGCGACTTATGGATCTAAAGATTTTGTGTAATGTTATCGTTAACCACGTGATATCAAATATCTGAGGTTCTATTCTTTCTTATTCAGAAAGGAAGGTTACTTCGAAAACAACAAATTTCAAATTCTGTCTATATCAGTAATTGAAGTAGTATCCTGGGCGACGAAAGTTGACAAGACTTGTTCCAGCACTGATTTTATTTTCTTTTTTTCCAGTCCATTTGGGATTCATCTTCTGAAACGTTGTGTCAAATTTGTTTGTTACTATTTCAAGACTTGTTCCAGCACTGATTTTATTTTCTTTTTTTCCAGTCCACTTGGGATTCATCTTCTGAAACGGTGTGTCAAATTTGTTTGTTACTATTTCCACTATTTCAGTTATTGTCCTATTTTGTTTCGAAATTTTATTTTATAATCATTTCAAAGTAATGAAGTACCTCTTATCTGAAGAAAATAGTTTTCCTTTTATTCAATTTGCCAATATTTCAATATCAAATTCTTCATCTCGATGAGTTATCCAGATTCATCATGGTTTGTAATGCATTTTTTATTTCTTCTTTTGTTCATGTTCATCTTCATGCTTTGCTGAAAGACTCCGCCGCAGATCTTTTATGCCTTTTTTGTCCTAATACCTGAGCTAATATCACATTGACTATTACTGGAGTTTTTTCCCAACACCAAACCGTTATTTCAACACCTCGACACGTATTTCGATCACCAAGTTATCATCTTCAAGAGGTTGATCTTCTTGAAGATGATCACTTGGTGATCGAAACACGTTTGGAGGTGTTGAAATGAAATAACATTTCGGTGTTGGGAAAAAACTCCACTAATATTCATTACTACAGCAAAGGTTCTAAACAATGCATCACAAAAACTACATATTGTTACAGTCTGTTCAATATTTCAACTGCCTCTTTTAGCTCCTCGGCTCTCGTGAAATTCTTGTTTATTCCTTCAACTTTCTATAGGTTCAATATGACAATATCCACCCTACATTATATTTTTACAGTTTTATACGTCAGTCACTGTATGAACTTTACTTTTTTTCTTTATTATAAACCATGTTCTTGTTTTGCAATATTTAAATAATATTAATTTCCATATATTGCACCACCGACAATCCGAGTTATATGAGTATACTATTGTTTTATCACCTACTAGGTACCAAATTTTAAGCATAATAATTTATTTTCTTGGTCATTTTAATTTCTTCATATGACTAAGGCATTTTTCTTCATCTGATTGTATGAAATACTGCTCTTCCATCGCTGAATGACTTAAATGTCGATTTCCATCACATGGTAAGACACATGCCAATATGCTTTATCTGTAGTTCTTAGAACAAAAAACTAAATGAACTGTTTTTATATCACAGTATTGAGGTGGTGATATTATACTTGAAAACATATTTTACTCACTATATTCAAATTTTGTTCACTGGCAGTATCGTCTAAGTATGAGGCATATAGTGGAGCATTATGACCTGTGAAGCCATCCCAAGATGCGTGTAGGTCGTAGGCCATAACATTAATGAAGTCCAAATATCTGTAAAATAGTTGACATTTCTCAATCTGATATATCGTTTCATAACAAACTCTTCAATATTGATATTGCAAAACTAGCGTTATGACAATTTATATATTTTTGTGTGCATTATAAAAAATATTTTGAACAAAATATTTCTCATTCAGTTTCCTCAACCTGTTTATAATTTTAATTTATTTTGTCCGGTCATCCATAATTTGATTTCAATTAAAGAGACACCGGTAGATAGCTGTTTCAGCCTGTTAGGCATCATCAGTAGCGGGTTGTATATTTGGATAGTTCAGGTTGAATAAACAAACTGGATGTAAATGGTATTACAAAAACAGCGACACATGCTGCGCTATACAATAGATTCCTAAAGCGGAAATAATAAATAACTTATAATTTACAAATATTCTATACTTTCCAATTTTAGTTACTACCTACAGTGCAATAAGTATTCTATCACCTGAAGGATCACAAACAAACTCATTGGGTTCCTGCAGAACCTGACAAATGATATTACATAATCATTTATTCGTAGTATGATTTGCTGGTAAAAAAATCAAGCAGAGTCGTATTATTGAAATCATTTCAGTCATTCATAAGATATTCTGAATTTTGGAAGTCATTGATTACCAGACGGTTGAGTTTCAAATATTTCTTCTGTGAATAAATAGTTTTAAATTGGTGATTGAACTAATGTCACTCTTTGAGGAAGCTGTTTCTATGTTCATTCATGTGTGCTTTAAACGTTCTTTCAGTTTTCGTATACAGAGCATCGGACATGATCCACATGGAGATTCACATCTATCAGATCAGATTCAGATCTATCTGACACCAAACTCAACGTTTTTTATGCGTTCTTGAGGTATTATTGGTTTCATAAGCTGTGTTACACCTTTATTTTGTTGACAAGAGTTTCAGGTAGATCAGAGTTCATAAATTGTCTTGTGGATGATGTCCTATGTTTCACATAGATCAAACTGGTTGCGAATTTCAAACACACATATAAAAATATAGAAACTGGTTTTAAAATGGAAAAATTTGTTCAATGTTCATTTTCAGTTCAACTCCTGGAGAGTTTCCAAACCGAACCTACTGGAAAGTATGGAAATCAACAAATTCAGAAATTCACTTATCTCAAGAACTACTAAATAATTTGCCTCTGTTCTATTTTGTCAACAAAAATCATACATAGAATAAATGACCATCAAATATCAATAACTTTATTCATCTGTTGTTAAAAAAACCTAGTAAATTAAAGATTATACCTGGTCTTAGAGATAGTTGAATCAATTAATTATTTATCTGATTAAATTATAGGTAATATCTCATAATGAAGTGTATAAAATGGTTGTAAAATATAAGTTATTCAACATTACTATTTGGAGGAGCTATTGCGTTTATAGTGTTATATTAAAATCCTTGTAGTAAAAATTTTGCAGTAGATTGTATCAGCTATCACAAATATTTTGAATGAATTTCAGGTGAATGAATGATTTGTTAATCCTATAAGTTGAAATATTCAACCCGTGTACCTACGTATTTCGAATGATATATTGTTTGTTACTTTATTGCGATCAAAAAACAAACAAATATTTGAATAAACATTTGAAAGACAAAAGTGCTAAATATATTGTTTTTTTACCTCTGTTCAATCGTTGCCTACCAAAACTGAAGGAAACGTTTTTATTATCTTCACCGAGTATCAATAAGTACAATTATTATGTAATAATCTGGAGCATCTTCAAAAGACTTTAAGATCGAATAGATACAGTCTTACCGAGATCAACAAGGCCATGAAACTGAAAACTTCCACAAGTCAACATAGGGAGGAAACTCAAACGGTTGCTTGTGCCTTTCTACCGTACATCCCTAGGGTTGCAGACAGAATCGGAAGAATCCTAGGGAAGCATAAAATAAAAACATTGTTCAGCCCACCAGGAAATTACAACAAAGCCTTAGATCTGAGAAAGACGAAAGGGATCCACTATCAGGTGCGGGGTTATATCGTATACCATGCACTTGCGGAAAAGTTTATATCGGTACCACCAAATGATTCATGGGTACAAGGCTAAATGAACATCGGAAAAACTGTAGATTAGGTCAAATAGACAAATCGGCAGTAGAGAAACACGCGGTTAGTGAAGGAGATCACACGATACTGTTCGAAGATGTGAAACTACTTGCCCCCGATCATGGATACCACAGTCGGCTTGTAACGGAAGCCATAGAAATATATAAACATATGGGAAACTACAACAGAAAAGAGGAGACGGTAACACTTATCTAAATTTGGAATCTCATACCAAAAGATGCTACAGCAACAGCGCAATCCAATGTTACGTCAATAACAGGGAATAACACTTCGGCCAATAGCAACGCATCAACACGAGAGGTGGAATACCCGTGTCAACATAGATACAACCTAGTAAACAGAAATCACCAGTCATCGATGAATCATCAAGATAAATAAACCTCTGAAGACGCCAGCCACTCGTTCTGGCTAAACGTTAAGGAAGCAGTTCCAAACTACGACGGCCTTCAAATCCGATTGAAGACACTAACACTGAAAATCTCGGCAACGAAAGCCTTAATCAGTTTAATCCGCTGACAAGATTGAAAAAATTATCTTGATGATATTGATTTTCACTGTTCACTGTTGTATAAATTACAATACAGGAGTATCTAAAACATCCTACATAGTGAGCGTACCTTATTAGTGGATCCCCCTTACTTTCATCCTAAAAATGGTACTTGGTCACATTTTTCAATTCAACATTGAGCTCACAATCAAAATCCTTCTCTACTGAGACTTTGAAGTATAACTTTCCTCCTCGCAGTGAACGCACATTCCACTGATGATGTCTGCCTACTAGCCTGAATTTTGTTCACTTTGATCCTCAAAGAAAATCCCATTTCAGTGAATCAATTTATTGCAAACATAATATTGTACATAGAAGAACACTATCACATACAAATTGCTTTGGACAATTCAATCTTAGATAACCTATTGGGATTTGTTGTTGGTCTAAATATGAGAACCAATGGAATGCAAATATGTCGTTTGTCTTTATATTTAGCAGGAACTGAGAGACCGTTTCAGGGCCAATGTTATTAACAATATATATGAACAATCTTTTCAAAAAAAGTTCCGCAGATATTTAGANAACCTCATTTTGAAAAATACCAGGAATGGTTAAAAAAATCTTCTTAACGAAAATTGGAAAATGGAGCAAATCAGAAAGGTTTTCTAAATCATACAAAAATTTCATACAGTCTTCATGAAATTTTTGCCATATTTATATTCAATTATATCGTACAACTCATCGTATGATGTGTATGTAAAATTTTTTACCATAGATAATCAATCTTTGTTCATCTCATACTATTCATTTTGTCCATTAAATTACTTCTAGATCATTGATCAATATTTTTTTAGAGTGCTCCAGATAGACAATATCTATAATATGATTTATTTTTTTTACTACAACAACACACTCACTTTACGTGTGAAAATTGATAAAAAAATTATTATTTATTATCATTATCATTACTATATACTCGATTGGTTGAACGCTAACCAAGTATAGTAGTGTCACATATATGGATTCTCAAAAATCAGCTTGCCTACTGTTATAGCAGATGTGATTAGAAAAACTATCGATGTTCAATCAGTGTTATTCTGTCTTATAGTTGCACTAATTCCTAGAAGTTTTACTTTAACTAATTCTAAGTGTCAAACGCCTTATTTTTCATTAGATTTTGCAAGTCTTCGCAAAATTCATGAGGGTTGCTCAATAGCGGCAGAAACAGATTTGGAAGATTTTTTCAAATGATAAGTATATGAATACATTTTTTTAGGGAACATACTAACAATGTCAGTAGGCGATCCTCCACGTTGCCCTGGATATTCCCAGTCTAAGTCGAATCCATCAAAACCGTATGTCAATACCCAGTTCAGAGCAGATTGAACAAAGTTTTTTCTGAGTGTGGCCGATGAAGCAACTATTGAGTACTTCGTGGAACCTTCATTCCAACCACCAATAGCGAGTAGTGTTTTGAGATTGGGATTTATTTTTTTCAGAGCGTTGAAATTAGCAAAGTTACCTGAAACAAAGAAGTATTCTATTCACCATAAGAAAATGCATCATTAGAAAGTTGTTACGTTATGGCAAAATAATTTAGCAGATTTTTTTCGAACTATAACAGTTTTCGAATCTTTTGAGAAAATTGAGAACTGGGTCGATGAGCCACTTTGATTGGGAAAGAGCAAAGAAGATATTCTTATGAAACAGTCAATAGTCATAAATGAACTCCTGATAAATATGTTATGAGAAGAAAATACCTGAAATATTTATTCAACATATCTGAATGTTGAATGTTTGATAACATACAGAGGTGTATTTACCAATGGGGCCTTGATAAAAGTATTGTTATTGTATTAAGGCTTCACTTGTGAATGCGGAATTTATGGAATCATAAACTTATGAGTGGTTAGATTAAAATTATCATTATTCTCATATCTAAGAGTTGATTTTTCAATAAAACTAAACTTCCTCCAAAAGTTGAACATTTTATTTTGTTTCTCAGGCATACGCTTCACATTGAGAAAGATAAACACATTTTTTTTTATTTCAATTGTTTATTGTCCCTTCAACAATTCAGGTTATCGGAGACGGCATATTACATGTCACAATAAATATAAAAATGTAAATATATAAATACACTTCATCTAATATAATCTGAATTTCATTGACTGAGCCAATATCGATTAGGTAATTTATAAGCTGGGATAGATTGCAACCTTCCTTCAGAAGTTCGGCAAGAGTTGAAGGAAATCAATGTAGTTTTCAATGTCGATTGTAGGCTTTGCACTCGATCAGAATATGTTTCACTATTAGGGGGCAGTGGCATATTTCGTAGGTTGGTTCTTAGGTTTTTTCGATCAGGTGGAAGTGTGTGATGCGGGTGTGTCCAAGGCGTAGTCTATACAGGACGAAATTAGCACTAGCTCGTCTTTCATGTACATCGACAAATATTTTTTCATAATTCTCAATACTTGTGATGCCCTGTTTGGAACCTTTGAAGTAGTAATGCATATTACTGGAGTTCTATCCCAACACCAACACCTCGACATACGTTTCAATCACCAAGTGATCATATTCAAGAGGAAGATCAAACTGATCTAAGGTGCATACACTTTTCTGGGTCTGAACAGTGTTCAAAGATTGAGAGGTAGCCTTCGCAATTCCTGCAACATCATTGTGCCAAGTCTCATTAGTGTCCAATTCAACCCCAACAAACTTATCGATGCAGAAAGCGGAACTATCCGTCCTGACATTATTACATCCAGTTCGGAGACATTTATCTTTTTGGAGAAAACCGATGCCTGGATTTTCGTGGCATTGAATTGAACCTGGTTACTTTCACCCCGTTTCGAATTCACCTCTAGATCTCCATCAAGATATTCAACCACCTCCTGCTGGTGAAGATATGCATTCGCAGCCGATTTCCTGGTATCCAAATGGAACGACGAGACAAGTGTGCTGTCATCAGCAAAGCAATAACTTGCATTCTCGTTTTTTTCTCAATAAATCGTTGACATACAATGAAAAGAGGGTTGGAGACAATATAGATCCCTGAGCAACACCAGCGTTGTGGGAAAAGTATTCGAGAGATATCCATCGACGGTAATGACCCGTTTGTAAATGTACAAACGGGTTGCAAGTGAAAGGTTTTATGATCATTCCGACGATCTCTACCTGAAGTGGCATGCGTTTGTGTATAAGCAAAAATTGTAGTGTGTAATCAGATAAATCTGATGAATCGTCGTTGAATGTTATCATTGAAAATTTTACAATTTCCTCCACTAAATGGTCTAATTTCCACATGTGCCCCAACTAGTTCTACGGGATTGGGCTCGCAATGAAGAGAGGGCAGACACAGAGTAATAATTTTTTGTTTCTGTGTCATCTTGTCGACTATTTCTTGGAACGAGCTCAATCAGAACATACCATGGACAATAGTTTTTTCAAACCATATTTTCATCAAATGAAATGTTTTTGTTGAAACCACTCATTGTTATCCGAATTTCTTCATGCATAAATAGTATTCTTTCAACTTTTCTGAAATAATAACTTGCATTATCTATCACATGTGTCAAAGTTAGGTGAAATGAGGTCTAACATTTGCTCACAATATTATTCAAACACATCGCTGTCCATATCTTCATGGTAATCATTAGAATGATTTAACCTAAACATCAATGAGCCACCATCAACAAAAACATATTTTTCAGGTGGCGACTTCAAACTGAAAGTTCAGCCTTCTGAAAATGCTTAACTTTAACTTGTTATGTTCTTGTCTTGCCACATCTTTCTATCAATATATCTTTTATTGATATAATGAATATTTCTATTCTCCCACTATTTTGTGGGAGTTCGGTATGTTTTCCTTAAAATGAAATAAATATACTGTCCTTCTGATTTCAGGTTTGTTGTTTTCATCAACAGGCCCATATTTGTTTCCTGAAGATAGTTTTGGTCATTTCACAGCTTCATTTTTTCTCTCATTCTTGAAGTTACTTATCGATGATTTTCATACTTCTGTCATTTGCGAACACATTTCCACCATAGTATCATCGATATACAAATGATTTTGGTGTATGAGAGCATCATATACATTAGGAATAATGCTCATTTTATCCGAACAAACGAAAAAAGTACATTTGCTCATTCGTTTCACTTGAGAGAAAACTGAAGTAGCCATTTCATTCTCACACTAAGTGTAATTTACAAATAGCACCACAGATCTAGACGTAATGTCTTCATCATTAATTCATTTTCTTCAGGTAATAAAATACTCAACTAAAGCACTATTGGATCGGAACAAATAATGGCGTCATCCTCTTTTCTAGTGAGTATTGAAAATATCTCAGATATGCCTGATTTAATTGTGAACTACTGTGGAGGTATGTGATACATTGAAACATACCATACATGAAAATTATTAAAATTTCATATCGAAATTCAAAAGTGAGTTTCATATTTTTGTTATTCAACGTATGCAAAAAAGCATGAAAAGACTTTTGGAATTTGTTATATCAAATTATATAACAACATTGGATGTTTGAATTCAATTCTACATTCTACAATTACAATTTCGTACTCTAAAAACACTTTTTTGTATGATTTTCACTAAAAAAGACACGCCCAAAGAAGCCATTGTGACCTGTTGCTTTTTTGTAAAACTGTTTAGTTAAAATCCCACAATGAAATGTTTCTCAAATACGTTATGGATTTTCATCAAATATAGCCCAATTCCATCATATATCAATTTTATAAGTCTATGAAAAAGACACTTGAAAATTATTTATCAATCCACTGCCTAAGGAATAAAGTATGACAACTCATCAACTCAGATGAATGATTCGTATGCTTGAGTTGTACAACTAATTTTTTTCAACAATAAATCGTAGTTTTCATAATAAATCGTAGTTTTCAGTAATTATTGATTTCTACCTTAAAACCATGAAAGTTCAAGTTTTTCTTAAACTGTCGGAAGTGGTATAACGTTCATGATATCAACACATTTCAAGTAACTTGGAAATATTTCGAGAATTATCTGTTGTACATGAAGAGAGTAAATATTTTGCTCAAGAGATTATCAGCACCGTAATGAAAAAATATGGTTCATTTGGATACTATACTAACACTTCGAGGAATACTTCAAATCCACTGTTTAATATTGAAATTATCGATCAAATAAATACTGCAAAAATAGAGATCAATGTAGTTTTCAATGTCGATTGTAGGCTTTGCACTCGATCAGAATATGTTTCACTATTAGGGGGCAGTGGCATATTTCGTAGGTTGGTTCTTAGGTTTTTTCGATCAGGTGGAAGTGTGTGATGCGGGTGTGTCCAAGGCGTAGTCTATACAGGACGAAATTAGCANTCATTTACAACAACCTCATGCAAAGACTTGAATTCAAAAAGCCTTTTATCATGTTTAATAAATTCCTAATTTCAGTAGAGAAATAAATCCTACTCACCCATGGTTATGTCCAGGTAAGAGTCTAAGGAAACCACACTTCCATCATTAGCTGTACTGAGTCCAACAAAACTGTAAATCAAGTGTGTGCACAGAGAAGGATCAATATCGCTTACACCGAATTTTCCGTTACCATTTCGATACTTTGACCAAGTTCCATGATAACATATTATTTTGTCTGAAAGATGAATTCATCAGTGAGTTCATAGTTCCGTTCACCACATACAATAGAATAAACTATTTGTTATTGTTCAAATCAGTAGTGAAAAAGATCTGAAGATATTCAGACACAAGTTTGAATACATCTCAACAGATAAACACAGTGACAGGATATAAAAAAATTCGCTTACGGTTTTTAACCATTGTAGTGAAATGTAAAACTATGTGTTTTTTGATTTCAGTTAAAATTCAATCATTATGATTTCATGAGCACCGTACTGATATTTTGATCTATATCAAAACAATTTTCATATTTTAGTTAATGGAGATATACTATATTTATGTTCGATATACGAGGAGAAAATGAAGGTGCAGAAAATTTTTCAGATATTACACTCATTACACTTTTATACAGAAGCCATTAGAAATGTATTACTTAGAGTTTCATAGAAATGAAAAGTGCTTACTGTACAATGATCCCCTACTGTTGATCCTTTTTTGAACTCTGAGATTTCGAAAAATTGACAGCAAACTCTCTCACATAATTAATATTAGGTTGTTTCGAAAGTTTCTTCCGTGTGTTTTTGTAGCTCCATATCTCAATAAATATTGTTTTCGCCGTATCGTGATGTATAGAGCTCGAAAGAGAATTTTGTACTGTATACATTGATGCTGTTGAGTTTCTTACAAGTTTTAATTTCCTGCCTGTTTTCAGCTTATTCAAATATAATGTCGTTGATCAATTTTCGACCAATTTCCTCTTTGAATTCGAATTGAACCAAAACATTGCCGAAACGACTCAAAAATATTGACCAGACATTTGGCAATGATAGTGTTAATAAACGCACTCTCCGACGTTGGTTTGCGAAATTTCTTTCCAGCTTCGCTTCCAGCTAACTTCGAACATGAGCCTCGAAGTGGTCGACCTATAGTAATTTGGGACTGGAATTTGAGGACCTTGGTGGAATGGCGGAAGTAGGTGCCCCACTATTTGAAAGATCATCAGAAATTGTCATGTTTCTAGGTATGCACTTCTTTGCTTTTGCGAAACCAAAACGACCCTTTTTTGGATCGGATCGTCACATGTGACGAAAAGTGGATCCTCTGTGTCAACAGGACCGTGGTTTCATACCCATGAGCCACACAGGCACACCACAAAGGCGAAAACACACAAAAAAGACCATGTGGTCTGTATGGTAGTCAGCGGCTGGTGTGGTTCACCATAACTTTCTGCAACCGGGCCAAATCATCACTCCAGAGTCCTATTGTGAGGAAATCGACGAATTGTATCGAACATTGCGTCAGCAGCAACCGTCACTGATCAACAGGAAAGTCCAATCCTGCTCTACGATAACGCCCTTCCTCACGTTTCTTAAATCATCGAACGAAAATTGAAAGAATTGAGCTTCTGCCTCACCCACCATACTCCACAGACCTCTCACCAACCTACTACCATCCTTTTTCACCGGTGGAACCTTCGCCAAATAGAACCAGACAAAAACGGACTTCATCGACTTCATCGAATCCCGAACATCCAATTTTTATGCTGGCGGAATTATTCGACTTGTATTACATTAGCTGAAGTGCACTGATTCAAATTGTGCTTTTATCGATTAAAATGAATAAGTATCCACCAAGATATTACAGTTTGAAGCATTAAAAACTAACAGCTGTCATTCCATATTCGAAAATCCCATAAACATCTAACTCATCGTAATTCGATATCATGCTTTTTTATTCAATTATCATAATTTAACATTTTGAGGAAATCAACAATATCAGTTTTACTCATTATATCATGAAAGTATACATCAGCATCTAGAGATACTATAAGAAAAGCTTTTGAATATTTACCTGTGGCAGCTGACACAAATTCTGAAGAAATAGTGGCCACCGCTATCCATATAACGAATTTGCATAGCATTTTCCTTCAAAATATAAGTCCCTGAAGGGAAATATAAAGAATACTAGAGGTTATTTATTTCAAATTGGGATAGTTTGCAAGCCCAAAAATCTCACCTGTTTTGTAGAATATCACAGAAACAGTAATAACTCATTTTGCAAAGATTCGCATTTATTTATATCACCGTCTCTCTAATCTTTAGTACAATAAATTACGTCAATTATTTTGCGAATGAAATAAAAATATTGAAAGTGATTTGCTATAACCCAATAAAGTAATAATAGTTATACCCTGAAATTACCAAAATAATTTTGTCGAATGATATCGAAGACAAAGAGTTATTGAAAGCAAACACACTTCATTTTCGGATTTGAATAACTTGTGTTCATGTGATGCACTGTTTGGAACCTTTGATGTGGTAGTGAATATTACTGGAATTTTATACCAACACTACTCAGTTATTTTTAGCACTTCGACACGTGTTTCAATCACCAAGTTATCATTTTCAAGAGGTAGATCAGACTGATCTTCAATCCCTTGTCCCTTATACGCCATCTATGTATTTGAAAAAAAAATTGCTTGAAGATGATCACTTGGTGATTGAAACACGTGTCGAGGTATTGAAAATAACAGTTTAGTGTTGGGACAGAACTCCAGTAGTATTCAACATGTGTTCAATTTTTAGTGGTATTTGGAATAAACTTACTGTATGAAAAGAACGTTCCTTCTGTGATATACGATAAAATTGGCCGATACTTGGTGAAATTCCATAACTGACGTATTAAAAAAACATTTCATTTTGAGAGTTTCACTAAACGATTTTACAAAAACACAATACGTGTTTCGCCATACAATGCCTTCTTCGGGCGTGTCTTTACTGTTATAGTAAAGACACGCTTTACTGGCTTTACTATAACAGTACGGGCGTGACATGCCCGAAGAAGACATTGTAATGGCGAAACACATGTTGCATTTTTGTAAAATAGTTAAGTGAAAATCTCACAATAAAGTACTTTTTGAATACGTTCCTTCTGTGAATTTATGAATGAATTGTACAGATCCAATAATTTTCTCAGATATTTTGATACCTGGGGTTCACCAGGTGTTTATTATTTTTTTTGCATTTGCTTTTCTGTATCGGAAATGGGTTTGAATTTGTGAAGTTTGTTATAGAACCCATAAAATGCCTGCCCTAACTTAATTATCTAGCTTCTGCAATCAGCTTCTTCTGCTGAGCAGCCTTTCAATTTTTGTCTTTTTCATTAACTAAATAAGGCTTAATGTCGAAAAGACTTGAGGATTTTTTGAATTCGAAGTTTTATATGATTGTCTATAGATTTTAATTTTTGATGAGGCTGCTTTTTCAACCGGTATCTCTATTGTTTTTCATCGTTTTTTGTAGTCACTGTTTTAACATATTCAGCTATGTAATACTATTCAGATCCGTATTCAGAAAAATGAAGTTAATTATGGAATCTAATTAAAGGTCCTTTGTCTTTTTTTATCATACAAAATGGAAGCGGTAGAGCTAAAAAACGAAATTGGGCAATTCTAGTTTTTGGCGAATATTTAAAAAACAATCACCGATATTCTCGACCGGAAAAGAGATTATTCTAGTTTCCCGAAATAGAAAAATGTCCGATTCAATCGATTTCCTATAGGGTCTTCCAACAGGGACTTCCGAACTTTGACAATTGATAAAGGGCGTCTTGTCAAATTGTTGTCATTTAATCAGCCTCTCTTTCCAAATCACCATGAACGGATATAGCATTCGAAGACACGTGCAAATAACAAAATTGTTTTATTTAACTGAGTGTTCTGTTCAGGCAACGTACCGCGCGTTTCGCCCATTTATCGGTAGCCATAATCGTCCTACCGAATGGACTATTCGCAATGTGTTGGAATTTGAGCCCAATGGTTCAATGAACGATCGATCAACATCCGTAAGTGGACGAAACGTAAGATATGCCAAAAACATCGCACGTCATTCACAAGAACTCGGCCTCCGCAGGCCACAACATCATGAAATATGCGGCGTGACTTGGGCCTGCACCCGTACTAAATTCAACTGATCCGAAAACTGAAGATAAAACGACCATAGACAACGACGTGTGTTCGCTGAATGGGCTCTGAGGCAGTTGACAACTGACACTAATTTTTATCGAAAAAAGCGTCCAATGCATCCCGAAGAAATCACTGTTTGGTGTGAATTTCGGGATAGCGGCGTCATCGGTCCATATTTCTTTGAAAACGACGTTAGCCAGGCCAACTATGTCAACATCAAGCACTATAGGTCGATGATTACCAACCTTTGGCCTGAATTGGATTATCTGGATACCAATGACATGTGGTTTCAACAGAACAGCCACACAACTCATGCCACAGTGGATTTTCTGCTCGAGCGATTTCAGGGCACGGTTATCTCAAATGGAGGTAATGTTAACTGGCCACCAAAATAGGGCGATTTGACCACGTTAGATTTTTTTCGTGGGGTTTTCTCAAGTAGTAGGTGTATGCGAATAAGCCACAAAACGCAGCGGTCCTCATAACACACATAAACCATGCCATCGGTCAAATTCAGCCTGATATATGTGATGGAAAATTTGACTTTTCCGATACGCTCCTTCCAAAGGAGCCGTGGCTGACACTTGAACGGTGTTATATTCCACACATAATGGCATCAATAGGTGTTTCAAAAGAATAAAATATTTCGGTGGTATTTCACACACACACTTTGTTTCAGAGATAGCAATAGTGGAATCAGCTGAAAAAAACAGGCTATATATTTTCCCATTTTAATTTTCTTTGGTAACTTTCTCGTGCTACAAGATATTTTCTCTGATGAAACTTTCATCAAAATCAAATATGTTTCAAAAATACCGTAAAAGATATGTGTCGTTTCAGTCCACTCGGTATTATTTAATTTTTCATCATTTGAAAGCAATTGTATCCAGATAGAGTACATTTCATGCCAAAATTGTTTCACTCCAAGGGGAAAAACTTCACCAGGGAAACCTTATTATTTCAAATTGATTAAAAATGTATTCAATTTGTTCAGAAATAATTTTGGTCAATTTTTCACTTTAATTTTTAAAATTTACAAAATTACATATTCTCAGTTATATGCAATAAAAATTAACTCCTATAAATATTTATTGTTGTTGAAAATTTTCTTGTCTTTAAAATTATATTTATGGTCTCCAATATGCCAGATTTATTGTGTAGATAGTACCTATAAACTCAATTGATCTAAAAAAATTCAGTCATAAATGTAATGGTAATGAATGATAAATAAATTTTATGATTCGTAATCTGATTCAGTATTCTTATAACAATTGAAATTTATTTCACTTTTCTCGTTTCTGCGAATCAAAATCACGCGCTTGTTAAAGTAAACATTGCTGATATTACCGTTGAGGACGAAAGGTCATTGGATTTTTTTAACTACAAGCGGCCAGATATCACAGATACGATTTCATAGATTGATAGATTCGGCTTCTCAAGTATCAATTCACGAGATTATTTCAGTTAAACAGTATTCTTTTCGAAAATTATACACAACCAATATTTTTAGAAATCTATCAAAAGAAATGGCATTATCTTGATAATAATATACAAATGCTTCTTCTTCTTTGACATTTTTTCACAAAATCCTGAAACACGTCATCTGAATATATTTTAAGCTGAAATTTTACACTATTTCTTTCAGACTGACTATCACATGACGTAATCGACAACCCTTTCAAATGTTAAGGTAATAGATCGATGGAAATCTGTGGCATACATCAGTTCAAAATCAATCCGAAATAGGCCGAGAAATTTAAATTGTCTTCAAAATATACTTCATAATGAAATGAGCAACTATATCAATGTCAGTTTTGCGTACCTTCAATCCTTCTGAATTATCAGGTTCAGTTTGATACACCTCATTTCTCATATGTTCCTATAGAAAAAAGTTATGTGGTAAGAGATCCGGTGATCTTGCTGGCCATCATACCGCTCCGCGCTCAACAATTTATCTATTTGAGAAAGTTCTATTCAAATATGGTATGATATTCAATCAAAAATGTATCAGTGCATCATCTTGCTGAAACCTTATTAATTTGTCTGGTGAATCCAGATGTATCATATCAGAAAATAAGTTTATCAAAATTAGACACAAGATGCAGTGGTGTGATCAGTGGAATTCTCTTCATATTCTGTCAAAATCATTCGATTGAAAGCACTTCTGATAACTAGATCCTAAAAATAACAGCAAATCATTCACATAAGCTCTAAGCACACACACAAGAACAAGTTGGCATTACAAAGTTCATGTTTTGGAATAAATTGATATTTTGAAAGCTTTTCACATAATTATAAATGGACTGATCCGTTAATTCATGAAAATTAAGAGTACTATCCATGATAATAATTACACAATTTTCACAAACATTTTCATATCTATGCGCGTTTCTCTACACTGTATCCTCCTCGGTAGAAATGAATACATTCCTTTGATGACTCTTTTATGACTCATAACAGGAATATTTTGAAATGAGATTTAATTGTGAAGAATATCCCGAATGAAAGTTTATTAAAATTGTGTTTTCTGATAACCAGCTCTCGCTCCCTCAGAAGTCTAAACTTAAATGAGCTAAAGATTAACGAGGTATTACCTTTCAACGTGCGATTCCTGGCATGTGATGGTAATCTCACTGAATTTCAATAACAAAAAGTTATTTAGGCTCAAAATATCTATAATATTTCGAACAACTCCCATGAAAAAAATTAATCATATTTTTAATAACATTCATGGTAAAACAGTTGGATGTCGTAACACGTTCCATTACTTTCACTGGTGAACAGTTTAAAAAAAAATATATTTTATGTGACACCCAAGTCAACTTGCCAAGTTTTTATGTCAGTGTTGGTGGTTTGACCAATCAACCGACAATTGCAGTAGCAGAAATTTGGTTTCTTTTTTCATTGGTTCGGCGTCATGCCATCTCTCTCGCCACATTGAACTCGGATACTCATAATGTATACAGTTATGTTTATTACAGTACCTATACATAACCTCTGTTTCACTAAATGAATACTTTTTAAAAATAATCTTAAATTAAATATTTCTGATAGTGATAATTCAGAAACTGAAACTGAACAGCCTTCTGCAAAGAAAGCAAAATCACA